TACGCAGGCCAGCGGAGTAATTACTACGCCGTTTTAAAAATATAATACTTCTCGCTTGTGTTAGGAGTCTATGGGGAAGAGGGTGGAGGCCCATGTGTTGTAAAGCATGTTGAAGCTAGTGGGTCGAACTATCGGCCCGGCGCAGCCTCCATTTTCGAGGCAAGAGTCCCCTCCTTTGCAGTCTTGGTGAAAGCAAAGCCGAACACTTTCACCCTGGTTTTGCTTGGGCTGGACTCTGGCACCCAAAATTGACGCTGCGGTAGGACGAAAGTTTGACCTATTCCTGCCTTCGTCCAAGACAGGCCCCCATTCCCCCGTAGACTCCTAGCACACCGGACCCACCGGTTACTCCTCCGGAACATTAAAGTAGTATAATTTTAAAACGGGGTATAAAATACTCCGCTGGCCAGGCCACGTAAATCGCACTTGTCGCTCCTCCGCTACTCCGCAAGATGCCTTAAGACAAGAAAGGCCCAGTAGGTCAAAACTCTCGTCCTCCCGATGCCTCACCGGGACCTTTCTGTTCAGCAAACCGCGCCAAACTTGTTGCTGTGTGACCTAACGACCTCCTGCAGGGTCCCCTAGACAGACATCCCCGTCTAAGAAACGATTCAGAAGGCATCGCCGGGCCGAAAGTTTCGACCCACTTGTGCATCATCTTAACAAGCTCTTGCGGAGTAGCGGAGTACCTCAAAGTGCCGTTCACCCTACGCAGGCCAGCGGAGTAATTACTACGCCGTTTTAAGAATATAATACTTTTTGCATTCCTGCGGAGGCCCCAAGGCTCACTTGTGTTAGGAGTCTATGGGGAAGAGGGTGGAGGCCCATGTGTTGTAAAGCATGTTGAAGCTAGTGGGTCGAACTATCGGCCCGGCGCAGCCTCCATTTTCGAGGCAAGAGTCCCCTCCTTTGCAGCCTTGGTGAAAGCAAAGCCGAACACTTTCACCCTGGGTTTGCTTGGGCTGGACTCTGGCACCCAAAATTGACGCTGCGGTAGGACGAAAGTTTGACCTATTCCTTCCTTCGTCCAAGACAGGCCCCCATTCCCCCGTAGACTCCTAGCACACAGGACCCACCGGTTACCCCTCCGGAACATTAAAGTAGTATAATTTTAAAGGGGTTAAACTACTTCCGCTGCCAGGCCACGAATCGCACTTGTCGCTACTACTTCTCGACTCCTCTAACTCCTCACGATGCATTAAGACAAGCACAGGCCCAGTAGTCAAAACCCTCGTCCCTATGCCCTCACCGGGAACCTTTCTGTTCGAGCCAAAACCGCGCCAAACGTTTGCTGTGTGACCGCTAACACCTCCTGCAGGGTCCCCCTAGACATACAATCCCCGGTCTAAGAAAAACGATCGCAGGCTCGCCTGGCCGAAAAGTTCGACCCACTTGTCACTCCATCTTAACAAGCTCTTGCGGAGTAGCGGAGTACCTCAAGTGCACCGTTCACCCTACGCACCCCGCTGGAGTAATCCTACGTCCGTTTTTAAAAAAAAATATAATACTTTTTTAAATTCCGGCGGAGGCCCCAAGGCTCACTTGTGTTAGGAGTCTATGGGGAAGAGGGTGGAGGCCCATGTGTTGTAAAGCCTGTTGAAGCTAGTGGGTCGAACTATCGGCCCGGCGCAGCCTCCATTTTCGAGGCAAGAGTCCCCTCCTTTGCAGTCTTGGTGAAAGCAAAGCCGAACACTTTCACCCTGGGTTTGCTTGGTCTGGACTCTGGCACCCAAAATTGACGCTGCGGTAGGACGAAAGTTTGACCTATTCCTTCCTTCGTCCAAGACAGGCCCCCATTCCCCCGTAGACTCCTAGCACACAGGACCCACCGGTTACTCCTCCGGAACATTAAAGTAGTATAATTTTAAAACGGGGTATAAAATACTCCGCTGTCCAGGCCACGTAAATCGCACTTGTCGCTACTCCGCTACTCCGCAAGATGCCTTAAGACAAGAAAGGCCCAGTAGGTCAAAACTTTCGTCCTCCCGATGCCTCACCGGGACCTTTCTGTTCAGCAAACCTCGCCAAACTTGTTGCTGTGTGACCTAACGACCTCCTGCAGGGTCCCCTAGACAGACATCCCCGTCTAAGAAACGATTCAGAAGGCATCGCCGGGCCGAAAGTTTCGACCCACTTGTGCATCATCTTAACAAGCTCTTGCGGAGTAGCGGAGTACCTCAAAGTGCCGTTCACCCTACGCAGGCCAGCGGAGTAATTACTACGCCGTTTTAAAAATATAATACTTTTTAATTCCGGCGGAGGCCCCAAGGCTCACTTGTGTTAGGAGTCTATGGGGAAGAGGGTGGAGGCCCATGTGTTGTAAAGCATGTTGAAGCTAGTGGGTCGAACTATCGGCCCGGCGCAGCCTCCATTTTCGAGGCAAGAGTCCCCTCCTTTGCAGTCTTGGTGAAAGCAAAGCCGAACACTTTCACCCTGGGTTTGCTTGGGCTGGACTCTGGCACCCAAAATTGACGCTGCGGTAGGACGAAAGTTTGACCTATTCCTTCCTTCGTCCAAGACAGGCCCCCATTCCCCCGTAGACTCCTAGCACACAGGACCCACCGGTTACTCCTCCGGAACATTAAAGTAGTATAATTTTAAAACGGGGTATAAAATACTCCGCTGGCCAGGCCACGTAAATCGCACTTGTCGCTACTCCGCTACTCCGCAAGATGCCTTAAGACAAGAAAGGCCCAGTAGGTCAAAACTTTCGTCCTCCCGATGCCTCACCGGGACCTTTCTGTTCAGCAAACCTCGCCAAACTTGTTGCTGTGTGACCTAACGACCTCCTGCAGGGTCCCCTAGACAGACATCCCCGTCTAAGAAACGATTCAGAAGGCATCGCCGGGCCGAAAGTTTCGACCCACTTGTGCATCATCTTAACAAGCTCTTGCGGAGTAGCGGAGTACCTCAAAGTGCCGTTCACCCTACGCAGGCCAGCGGAGTAATTACTACGCCGTTTTAAAAATATAATACTTTTTAATTCCGGCGGAGGCCCCAAGGCTCACTTGTGTTAGGAGTCTATGGGGAAGAGGGTGGAGGCCCATGTGTTGTAAAGCATGTTGAAGCTAGTGGGTCGAACTATCGGCCCGGCGCAGCCTCCATTTTCGAGGCAAGAGTCCCCTCCTTTGCAGTCTTGGTGAAAGCAAAGCCGAACACTTTCACCCTGGGTTTGCTTGGGCTGGACTCTGGCACCCAAAATTGACGCTGCCTCACCGGGACCTTTCTGTTCAGCAAACCTCGCCAAACTTGTTGCTGTGTGACCTAACGACCTCCTGCAGGGTCCTCTAGACAGACATCCCCGTCTAAGAAACGATTCAGAAGGCATCGCCGGGCCGAAAGTTTCGACCCACTTGTGCATCATCTTAACAAGCTCTTGCGGAGTAGCGGAGTACCTCAAAGTGCCGTTCACCCTACGCAGGCCAGCGGAGTAATTACTACGCCGTTTTAAAAATATAATACTTTTTAATTCCGGCGGAGGCCCCAAGGCTCACTTGTGTTAGGAGTCTATGGGGAAGAGGGTGGAGGCCCATGTGTTGTAAAGCATGTTGAAGCTAGTGGGTCGAACTATCGGCCCGGCGCAGCCTCCATTTTCGAGGCAAGAGTCCCCTCCTTTGCAGTCTTGGTGAAAGCAAAGCCGAACACTTTCACCCTGGGTTTGCTTGGGCTGGACTCTGGCACCCAAAATTGACGCTGCGGTAGGACGAAAGTTTGACCTATTCCTTCCTTCGTCCAAGACAGGCCCCCATTCCCCCGTAGACTCCTAGCACACAGGACCCACCGGTTACTCCTCCGGAACATTAAAGTAGTATAATTTTAAAACGGGGTATAAAATACTCCGCTGGCCAGGCCACGTAAATCGCACTTGTCGCTACTCCGCTACTCCGCAAGATGCCTTAAGACAAGAAAGGCCCAGTAGGTCAAAACTTTCGTCCTCCCGGTGCCTCACCGGGACCTTTCTGTTCAGCAAACCTCGCCAAACTTGTTGCTGTGTGACCTAACGACCTCCTGCAGGGTCCCCTAGACAGACATCCCCGTCTAAGAAACGATTCAGAAGGCATCGCCGGGCCGAAAGTTTCGACCCACTTGTGCATCATCTTAACAAGCTCTTGCGGAGTAGCGGAGTACCTCAAAGTGCCGTTCACCCTACGCAGGCCAGCGGAGTAATTACTACGCCGTTTTAAGAATATAATACTTTTTGCATTCCGGCGGAGGCCCCAAGGCTCACTTGTGTTAGGAGTCTATGGGGAAGAGGGTGGAGGCCCATGTGTTGTAAAGCATGTTGAAGCTAGTGGGTCGAACTATCGGCCCGGCGCAGCCTCCATTTTCGAGGCAAGAGTCCCCTCCTTTGCAGTCTTGGTGAAAGCAAAGCCGAACACTTTCACCCTGGGTTTGCTTGGGCTGGACTCTGGCACCCAAAATTGACGCTGCGGTAGGACGAAAGTTTGACCTATTCCTTCCTTCGTCCAAGACAGGCCCCCATTCCCCCGTAGACTCCTAGCACACAGGACCCACCGGTTACTCCTCCGGAACATTAAAGTAGTATAATTTTAAAACGGGGTATAAAATACTCCGCTGGCCAGGCCACGTAAATCGCACTTGTCGCTACTCCGCTACTCCGCAAGATGCCTTAAGACAAGAAAGGCCCAGTAGGTCAAAACTTTCGTCCTCCCGATGTATCCCGGAGCCAGAATCGAGTAGTGCATACAAAAACGCAATCATTCAGGTCCCGTGATAGGCTCCAGTGATGAGCGTGAGCCTCCCAGCATACATAACCCTCGCGGTCATCAAATGTCGGGATCAATCAGAACCGTAGGTAAAGCAGGAGGAGACTGTATGTGACGGGAAGAAGTGACTTTTTTGACTTTGAAAACGCGGGCGAGAGTTGCGGTCTCCACCTTGCGCGCAAGTGGCACAAGAACAAGTCCTTTTGGACCCGGTCACTACATGTTACACGTGTGTTACATGTAACAAGCGACTGTGTACAGCTACGCACACATTCAGCCATCGGCACGAGTGCCAGCATGGCGCCCCGACACGAGTGTCAGCGAGCCGTCAGTGAAACACACGAGTACGATGCAATGCAAAAGCAACAAACAAGGATTTGAGGACAAGTACACAATGTAAGCACCAGCACTGCCTAAGCTACGATCCTTCGCACTCAGTTTCTTAGCTTTCACTTTGTCTTCAGTTGCAAGCTGCAGCCCATCATTCAAGTAAAGAATGCTTCTGTAGTGACCGCTGGTCGGCAACTCGCCAATGTGATAAGTCACTGCACATACATGAAAGGGCTGCCACATAACAGCTCCAGCACGATACACCGGCAACTCACATGTAGAATCCACCTGCACCGGAGTGTGGCACTTGCTGATCGTGGTAGCACCAACGTGGAAGCGTTGCAACACAATGCACACATGAGTTTCGAACTCACTGAGGCAATAAAGACTTGTTTTTCCTTCCCAGAGTTGCGAAGGCTGCATATGCCAGGCTTGGACACACTCTTGGAGAGTGTACCTTGTAGCATCGCCAGCACCTGCAATAGGCATCAAGATGACATTGGAGCCCGAATCCTCAACCTCGAAGCGGTCGCCTAGTTGTGTACCAGCCAGCCAGCGGCTCACCCAAGGAGCATCAGACCCCTGGCGCAGCAGATGAAGAAGGAATTCCGTCGCATCATGCTGTTGATTCGGCCTGCTCCACCCCGTAAACAGCGACCTCCAAGAGAGCATGTTGAAGAGGCCATAATCACGAGAGAAGCTTAAGCCTTGTAGTGCTGCAAGCGCTTTCAGGAAAGGATTGGCACCTGCGGCAGCAGCAGACAGAGGTGAAGGCTGCAGCCATCGACCACAAGCAAGCACCACAGAATTAGCATAACAATGATTGCTAGGATTCTGAAGCCTCAGTGATTGCCAAGCCAGACCGATAGACGATCGGCCGCGGGCGGTCGCTTCAGCCGATGGGGCCGAATTCTCACCGCCCCCAACACCCAGGCCTGGAGGTCCACCCATGTGTTGAAAATCTGCCACAGAGGCTCTGCTTCCGAGCGGAGCCCGATGTCCACATGAAAGGTCACCGCGTAGCCCTTCATCTCCGGGGCCAGTTCCCTCGACTGAAATCTCGGCATGTTTTCCGGACGTACAAGCAAAGTCATGGCCTGATCCAGCTGCTCGATGAATGCTGTTTGAGGAATCGGCTTCCTGGACTGATCGAGGTACAGAGCCTCCTGAGTTGGAGACCATTTGCGATAGACCCATCGACCCTCGGAGTCGATCCACTCGAGAGCCTTCATGCGTTCCTGCTGCTCGGAGTCGTCCAGTAGCTTTTTGGCTCTGGCCTTGATTTCCAGAAGCATGGAGATCATCATACTGCAACGAAGAGGTTTGTCCAGCTTGCTTGGCTCCTGTTCTTGCATGGTTTTCCAGGCTTTCCACACCTTGTACATGATGGGTAACAGGTTTTCCGGACCCGGCTCGTTCTTCAAGGTAAGTAGAAAGCTTGTGTCCAGCTGAACCCTGCTCGCCTGATCCACTAGCTGCAGAGTCATGGCCGCCATAAGCTGAACCGCCTCCTTCAGTTCCATCTTGCTTGCATCCTTCGAGGATTTGGCCTTGCCCTTGCCCTTGCCTTTGCCCTTGCGATCTTGCTTGTCCGAACTGAAGCTTGGATTGTCGTTTGTTCGACGGCGCTTGTTCAGGTCCTTCGACTTTGCCTCCGATGGCTTGTCCCCTTTGCTGTCGTCGTGATTCATTGGCCAATCCTGAACCGCCTCCTCCAGGGAGGGCAGAAGATGCCCCCACAGCTGCTTCTCTTGAAGCACTGGATCCTGCCGGAGCTTTGCTGGATTTGCAATGTCCAACCAACATGCACGACATGAGCATCAATTGCAGAAGAACAAGACAGCTGCCTGCATGTTGGCGACGATCCACAATGTGGGTGCCGCAAGCTTGACACGGCGAGGCTATGAAGGACTTCCACAGAGCAGTCTGTTGGCTGATAGCAGTTTCGTGAAGGAGAAAGTGCTCAGGGTGTTTAAGGCGAAGGTGTTTCCTAACTCCATTCCGCGAGACGACCCATTGATAGCACAAGGCACACCGTTGCTTGAGGTCGACACACAGATCAGCATTGGTCAAGAGCGATTCCCAGCCATTTTCACGTATGGCTTGCATAATGTGTGGCCTTTGCACGTGGGGCGTCACCATAGCCTCAGCCTGCGACTTTGCATATGCTTCCGGCTCACCACGTTCAAGGGCAGGGCAGCCCTGCCTGGTAACATGCCTTGTAAGCGCACTCCATTTGGAGAATTTGTCACCACAGTGCCTGCATATGGGAAAGCCGTTGTAGCCATGCTCAGTGTGCTGAACTTGGGCAATTTTATCCCGGACCTTCTTGTGGGCCTTGCCCTCATGTGTCTTGAGATCGTGTAGGTTAGAGAAGACCTGATCACAGATCGCGCAAGAGAAGCCGTTCTCGGGCTTAGAGGGTGCTGGTGGTCCCGAGGACGGGGCCATTGTAGGAGCAGAGGGTGCAGAAGCAACGACTGCACCAGCAACAGCACGCTCACTGGACAGCGGAGGCAATGGTACAGGCTTGGGGTGAGCACTGGGTGCCGAATCCTCAGGGACGGGGGTGGGTACAGAGGCTGAAGATGCAGGAGTCGGCTGAGACCGAGGCTTGGCAATGTAGGGTGGCGGCAGTGAGTCCCGCACAAACTGTGCCCATTGCAAAATGCCCTCGGCACCAAAGCATGGGATCTCAAGCTCAGTTCGTGCCAATCGTTGGCAAAAAGCGTCACACTTTGTCTTAACCAGCTCTACACAATCAGGAATGCTATGCTTAAGCATGAAAAGCTGATCCGAATCCCCATCCACGTGCCTGGCAGAGCCAATATTCGCTCGCATATGCCGCATAGTCTGGATGTGAAGGAGCTTGGCCGTCTCAGCGGTCAGGCCAACAGCTTCAACAGCATATAACTGCGACGTCTGCACCATAATGCGCCACAGTCGGAGGCGATGCCCCACACTGAGCACACGTCTGGCATGCAAAATTCGGCGGAGCCGATCACGATGGCCTGCGGCTACCCCTATCCTATGGTTAGCAGTCGCCAACTCGAAATTCCGATAAGAGAGAACAACTCCAAGATAGGTAAGCTGACTGGCCACTGGGACTCTATCTTGTTTGGCACCTCCAAAATGGAACTGCTTGCGACCGTCGGAGTCCTTGCGGACCCAGCGTTTCACCCACTTTCGCGCTTGCTGTCCTCTGGCACCTATGATAAAGGTACTTTTATCGGGGTTGGCCTGCATTCCAAGCTCACGCAGTATGCGAAAGATGTTGAGAACCTCAAGACGGATGCTATGCAATTCAGCCTCTGTGCGGAAAACCCATTTAAAATGCATATCATCCGCAAAGAGAGTGCCACGCCGGGCAGTCCATCCTGGGCCGTTGGCCTCATCAAGGCGTTTTTGAATGTGCTTTGTGAACAACCCCCACAAGAAAGGAGACAACACGCATCCCTGCCTAACCCCACATTCAAGCCGAACAAAGACCGGATGCTCGTTGCCCTTGCTATGTATCCTATACTTGCCGGCCTGATGCCATTCAAGTAGAACCTGCTGTTCTTCAAGAGAAAGGTCTGTGTCTTGCAGCAAAAGCTGCAAGGTCCTTCGGGGCAAAAGGTCGAAAGCTTTCGACAGATCGAGCCCAAGTTGGGCCCCACCAATACACGGGGTGTAACGTGCACCTTCAAATCGATCGAAAACCGTCAAGCTTTGAGACCTGAGCAAGTCACGGACTTCCTTGCAATGTGCCGCTACCCGCGAGATAGCCTCGTGAGTGGACCTTCCCATCACGTAGGCATACTGAGGGAGGGTGCGCATAGCCTCCAAGAAGCTGGGCTGCAAGCGTTGCTTAAAGACTGTCAGGACTGCCTTTGCCGCCGCCGATTGGAGGGCAATTGGGCGCAAATCCTGCGGCCGTCGCGTGACTTTTTGAGGCTTCAAGAGAAAATGTAGATCCGACCTTGCCCAAACAGATGGAATGTGAAGCGGACCAGGCTGCCAGATTTTGCTCAGCACGGCATTCAGATAGCAAGACAGAGGAGAGGCAAGGGCCTTCCAGACAGCAGCCGGAGCCAAATCTTTGGCTACAGCTTTTCGTTGTTTTAGGCCTCGGAGAGCATCATGGAGCTCCTGCTGGGTAACAAGGAGTGACTCACGAAGACAAACAGCCTGATAAGGCAGACTGGTGCTGGAGTAGATACCTTGCCAGTAGTCTGCAAGGGCTTTGTCTTCCAAGGCTGGAGTGAGGATCTGACCCTTGGGATCACGGATCTGAACTCGTGCATGTGCTCGCTTGGGTGCCAGCCTCTGCACAACTTGAAAGAATTTCAGCGGGTTGCCAGCTTTGCTTGCTTGCTCCGCCTCCGAAAGCTGTGCTTGCCAATGTTCGCGTCGCCTACGACGGCTGTTGCGTTTCAGTTCTTTGACTCTTCGGCTTAGCTGTACATGCAACCTCCATGCTCTAAACGTAGACGACAGATGCGGCCAAAAGGCGGCTTGCTGCTTGAGGCTGCGACGCAGTTGCCAAGTGAGAGACAAATCCTGACCAACCTCCGGGTTTTGCCACTGCAGAGCAATGGTTCGATTTCGCTGCAAAGGAAAAGCCTTGACACAGATGTTGCGAAGCTCAGCCTCCGCTTGGGAGGGTAGCAAATCAGCTGTAAAAAGGTGTTGCTTGGCAGCAAAGGCCTGGCGAAGTATCTCAAGCTCAGGGCCGGGGCGACAGGCCCGGCACAAAGCATCCTGATCAATGGCAAGCTTGGCTGGAGTACGATCCCGGAAGCGACACCAGGCCTTCAAGTCAATCATACCCAAAAGAGGCATATGCCTGGCTCCGGAGCGCCAGGATGCAAAATGGATCTGTGGCTGAACGGTGACGGGACAACCCGTGGCCTGCATGGTTCTCGCAAGGACAAAGTCCACCCTAGAGGCAGGACCATGTGGGTCGACATAAGTGCTTTGATTGTCCCACGAATTGAGTGCTCGCAAGCCATGTGTCCGAAGGAGATTTTGAAAAATGTGCTGATCTTGGGCAACCGCACGTTCTTTGCCCTTGTGGGTGTGTGTCACTCCAACATAAGGATGCTCCTGAAGCAAATCGGTGTTGAAATCACCAGCAAGGTACATGAAGTGTCTGCTGGGAAGGGCCTGCACAAGAGCGTCTAGGGCATTCCAAATCGCCGCCCGTTTTTCATAGACCTGTTTGGATTCAGAAATTTTTGCAGGTATGTAAACACAAATCAGGTTATCATTCATGAGCCTAGGGGTATTTCTCAGCAGGGGTACTTCTCAGCCACTACCGAAGATTTAAGAAGATTGTTGAATTATTTGGAAGATTGTTGAAGAAAAACGAATTATTTGGAAGATTGTTGAAGAAAAATGAATTATTTGGAAGATTATTGAAGAAAAACAAATTATTTGGAAGATTGTGGCAGAAATGCGAATTATGTGAGGGTTTCAATTTGAGGCTTAAACACGGTTTAGGGTTTAGGGCTCATGGTTTAGGCTTCCTGGCACGGCTCGAGGACCTGCCAAAATGGAACACCGAGGTTTAGGGTTTAAAGATTCTAGGTCTAGTATTGGTCAGCTTCGGGGCCCACAAAGTTTAGGGTGCCAACTTCCGAGGTTCAGGGTTTAAAGGTTTAGGGTTTAGGGCTTACGGTTGTTCGGGTCTAAAGGTGTAGGGTTTAGGGTTTAGGGTTTGGGTGAAAACACCCACTTTGTGGGAGTACTAGAGTTGAAAACAAATATGAGTAATCGAGTAGTGAAGTAATAGAGTAATAGAATAATAGAGTAGTAGACTAATAGAGTACTAGAGTATTTGAGTAATAGAGTAATAGTAATAGAGTAATAGAGTAATAGAATAATAGAGTAATGGAGTAACAGAGTAATAGACTATGTGTGTGGAAAATTGAAACCCTTTGCTATGTTCGCGAAGCGAGGAAATTTTTTTGTTTTTTATGCAAAATTCATGCAAATGCTTTTGGTGCGAGTGTCTGGAGCAAGCCTTGTAGTGTGTGTGGAGTACTAGAGTTGAAAACAAATATGGATGTTCGCGAAGCGAGGAATTTTTTTTTTGTTTTTTTATGCAAAATTCATGCAAATGGTGCGAATTGCAAGCCTTGTAGTGTGTGTGGAGTACTAGAGTTGAAAACAAATATGGATGTTCGCGAAGCGAGGAAATTTTTTGTTTTTTTATGCAAAATTCATGCAAATGCTTTTGGTGCGAGTGTCTGGGCAAGCCTTGTAGTGTGTGTGGAGTACTAGAGTTGAAAACAAATATGGATGTTCGCGAAGCGAGGAAATTTTTTTGTTTTTTATGCAAAATTCATGCAAATGCTTTTGATGCGAGTGTCTGGAGCAAGCCTTGTAGTGTGTGTGGAGTACTAGAGTTGAAAACAAATATGGATGTTCGCGAAGCGAGGAAATTTTTTTGTTTTTTATGCAAAATTCATGCAAATGCTTTTGGTGCGAGTGTCTGGAGCAAGCCTTGTAGTGTGTGTGGAGTACTAGAGTTGAAAACAAATATGGATGTTCGCGAAGCGAGGAAATTTTTTGTTTTTTTATGCAAAATTCATGCAAATGCTTTTGGTGTGAGTGTCTGGAGCAAGCCTTGTAATTAGTGTGTGTGGAGTACTAGAGTTGGAAAACAAATATGGATGTTCGCGAAGCGAGGAAATTTTTTGTTTTTTATGCAAAATTCATGCAAATGCTTTTGGTGCGAGTGTCTGGAGCAAGCCTTGTAATTAGTGTGTGTGGAGTACTAGAGTTGAAAACAAATATGGATGTTCGCGAAGCGAGAAATTTTTTGTTTTTTATGCAAAATTCATGCAAATGCTTTTGGTGCGAGTGTCTGGAGCAAGCCTTGTAGTGTGTGTGGAGTACTAGAGTTGAAAACAAATATGGATGTTCGCGAAGCGAGGAAATTTTTTGTTTTTTTATGCAAAATTCATGCAAATGCTTTTGGTGCGAGTATCTGGAGCAAGCCTTGTAATTAGTGTGTGTGGAGTACTAGAGTCGAAACCAAATATGGATGTTCGCGAAGCGAAGAAATTTTTTGTTTTTTGATGCAAAATTCATGCAAATGCTTTTGATGCGAGTGTCTGGAGCAAGCCTTGTAGTGTGTGTGGAGTACTAGAGTTGAAAACAAATATGGATGTTCGCGAAGCGAGGAATTTTTTTTGTTTTTTATGCAAAATTCATGCAAATGCTTTTGGTGCGAGTGTCTGGAGCAAGCCTTGTAGTGTGTGTGGAGTACCAGAGTTGAAAACAAATATGGATGTTCGCGAAGCGAGGAAATTTTTTGTTTTTTTTATGCAAAATTCATGCAAATGCTTTTGGTGTGAGTGTCTGGAGCAAGCCTTGTAATTAGTGTGTGTGGAGTACTAGAGTTGAAAACAAATATGGATGTTCGCGAAGCGAAGAAATTTTTTGTTTTTTATGCAAAATTCATGCAAATGCTTTTGGCGCGAGTGTCTGGAGCAAGCCTTGTAGTGTGTGTGGAGTACTAGAGTTGAAAACAAATATGGATGTTCGCGAAGCGAGGAAATTTTTTTTGTTTTTTTATGCAAAATTCATGCAAATGCTTTTGGCGCGAGTGTCTGGAGCAAGCCTTGTAATTAGTGTGTGTGAGTACTAGAGTTGAAAACAAATATGGATGTTCGCGAAGCGAGGAAATTTTTTGTTTTTTTATGCAAAATTCATGCAAATGCTTTTGGTGCGAGTGTCTGGAGCAAGCCTTGTAGTGTGTGTGGAGTACTAGAGTTGAAAACAAAATATGGATGTTCGCGAAGCGAAGAAATTTTTTTTGTTTTTTTATGCAAAATTCATGCAAATGCTTTTGATGCGAGTGTCTGGAGCAAGCCTTGTAGTGTGTGTGGAGTACTAGAGTTGAAAACAAATATGGATGTTCGCGAAGCGAGGAAATTTTTTTTGTTTTTTATGCAAAATTCATGCAAATGATTTTGGTGCGAGTGTCTGGAGCAAGCCTTGTAGTGTGTGTGGAGTACCAGAGTTGAAAACAAATATGGATGTTCGCGAAGCGAGGAAATTTTTTGTTTTTTTATGCAAAATTCATGCAAATGCTTTTGGTGTGAGTGTCTGGAGCAAGCCTTGTAATTAGTGTGTGTGGAGTACTAGAGTTGAAAACAAATATGGATGTTCGCGAAGCGAAGAAATTTTTTGTTTTTTATGCAAAATTCATGCAAATGCTTTTGGCGCGAGTGTCTGGAGCAAGCCTTGTAGTGTGTGTGGAGTACAAGAGTTGAAAACAAATATGGATGTTCGCGAAGCGAGGAAATTTTTTGTTTTTTTTATGCAAAATTCATGCAAATGCTTTTGGTGCGAGTGTCTGGAGCAAGCCTTGTAGTGTGTGTGGAGTACTAGAGTTGAAAACAAATATGGATGTTCGCGAAGCGAGAAAATTTTTTTGTTTTTATATGCAAAATTCATGCAAATGCTTTTGGTGCGAGTGTCTGGAGCAAGCCTTGTAGTGTGTGTGGAGTACTAGAGTTGAAAACAAAATATGGATGTTCGCGAAGCGAAGAATTTTTTTTGTTTTTTTATGCAAAATTCATGCAAATGCTTTTGATGCGAGTGTCTGGCGTCTGGAGCAAGCCTTGTAGTGTGTGTGGAGTACTAGAGTTGAAACAAATATGGATGTTCGCGAAGCGAGGATTTTTTTTTGTTTTTTTTATGCAAAATTCATGCAAATGCTTTTGGTGCGAGTGTCTGGAGCAAGCCTTGTAGTCTTCCCTGTTCTACGTAAGACTGCTGCATGCTTTTAAGTTCTTCTAAATTCTTCTAGATTCGTCGGAATTCTGCAATTTTCTTCCAAAATCTTCCGGTTTCTGCCTGTCTGTCAAGACATGCCTGGTTCCCAACACCATTTTTTTTTTTTTTTTCACACACACGGTATCCCCCATTTCTTCGTTTTTCTACCTTTTCTACCTTTTTCTACCTTTTTCTACCTTTTTCTACCTTTTTCTACCTTTTTCTACCTTTTTCTACCTTTTTCTACTTTTTTCTACCTTTTTCTACCTTTTTCTACCTTTTTCTACCTTTTTCTACCTTTTTCTACCTTTTTCTACTTTTTTCTACCTTTTTCTACCTTTTTCTACCTTTTTCTACCTTTTCTCTACCTTTTTCTACCTTTTTCTACCTTTTTCTACCTTTTATTCGGTTGAGGTTTGTTTTTTTTTCTCTTTTTTTCCCCTTTCTACCGGCATGCTTGGGGGAAGGAAATGCTGCCCGATTTTCAGCCCCTCCCCCCCCCCTCCCCTAGGCCATACGTTTAGGGCCTAGGGTTTAGGGCCTTAGGTTTAGGGCCTAGGGTTTGGGGCCTTGGGTTTAGGGCCTAGGGTTTGGGGCCTCAGGTTTAGTGCCTAGGGTTTGGGGCCTTAGGGCCTAGGGTTTAGGGCCTGGGGTTTAGGGCCTAGGGTTTGGGGCTTTAGGTTGAGGGCCTAGGGTTTGGGGCCCTAGGTTTAGGGCCTAGGGTTTAGGGCCTTACGTTTAGGGCCTAGGGTTTAGGGCCTTAGGTTTAGGGCCTAGGGTTTAGATGTATGTATATACGTGTGTATGTATGTATGTTTGTATGTATGCATGTATATGTATGTATGTATGTATGTATGTATGTATGTATGTACATGTGTGTGTGGGTGTGCAGGTGTGTATGTTCGTATGTGTAGGTGTTTATGTGTGTGTGTCTGTGTGTGTATGCATGTGCTTATGTATGTATGCATGTATGGATGTATCTGCCTATGTATGTATGTATATATGTATGTATGTACCTATGTATGTACTCATTTACACACACATACAAATGTATACATAATTGCGCATACGTATATACATGCATGTGTATATATTTATAGGTGCGTATATATAGATATATATGAAGATACACAAACATGTCTGTATATATATATATATATATATGTATACATGTCTGTATCTATATATATTGTTTGTGTATGTATATACATACACATGTATGTATATACGTGTGTGTCTACCTATATGTAATATCTGTAAACAGATATAAATATATGAAGAATCGCCATTAAGGTCATCACCAACCTCGCCATAATTATTAAAACCATCATCATGCTCGTCATAATTATCAAACCACCATCATCGTCTTCATAGCCCTAGTCTTCTTCGTAGAACCCAGGTTTTATAATCATCAACATCATCATCACATATCATCATACACATCGCCAACGACATATTCACAATCGTCATCATAATCAGCATCGGCCATCATCAGTCATCGTTGTTATCATCCACATAGAACGTCGTTATAGTCATCATCATAAACATCGAATCATCAATGAGATAGAAGCCAAGAAGCTGGAATAATTACCAGTACTTTTGCTCAGGGCTCAAGGCTCCTTGTTTTTACTGTTACACATCCCGGCGTTCACGGCTTTGAAACATGCGACAATAATCAACAACATGTTGTTACGAAACAGAGTCTACTTAATGTATTTCCGAACAGGGTGAGAATTGAAATTTCCCATAGGATTTGTGCTTGGAATCCAAGAAAAACAAGGGTGCGAATTGTAATTTCCCATAGGATATGTATTTCCGAACAGGGTGCGAATTGTAATTTCCCATAGGATTTGTGCTTGGAATCCAAGAAAAACAAGGGTGCGAATTGTAATTTCCCATAGGATATGTATTTCCGAACAGGGTGCGAATTGTCATTTCCCATAGGATTTGTGCTTGGAATCCAAGAAAAACAAGGCTGCGAATTGTAATTTCCCATAGGATATGTATTTCCGAACAGGGTGCGAATTGTAATTTCCCATAGGATTTGTGCTTGGAATCCAAGAAAAACAAGGGTGCGAATTGTAATTTCCCATAGGATATGTATTTCCGAACAGGGTGCGAATTGTCATTTCCCATAGGATTTGTGCTTGGAATCCAAGAAAAACAAGGGTGCGAATTGTAATTTCCCATAGGATATGTATTTCCGAACAGGGTGCGAATTGTAATTTCCCATAGGATTTGTGCTTGGAATCCAAGAAAAACAAGGCTGCGAATTGTAATTTCCCATAGGATATGTATTTCCGAACAGGGTGCGAATTGTAATTTCCCATAGGATTTGTGCTTGGAATCCAAGAAAAACAAGGGTGCGAATTGTAATTTCCCATAGGATGCTGTACCTGGATGCCAAGAAACAGAGTCTACTTAATGTATTTCCGAACAGGGTGCGAATTGTAATTTCCCATAGGATTTGTACTTGGAATCCAAGAAACACAAGCGCTAATCAGGGTGCGAGCGGGTGCGAATTGTAATTTCCCATAGGATATGTATTTCCGAACAGGGTGCGAATTGTAATTTCCCATAGGATTTGTGCTTGGAATCCAAGAAAAACAAGGGTGCGAATTGTAATTTCCCATAGGATGCTGTACCTGGATGCCAAGAAACAGAGTCTACTTAATGTATTTCCGAACAGGGTGCGAATTGTAATTTCCCATAGGATTTGTGCTTGGAATCCAAGAAAAACAAGGGTGCGAATTGTAATTTCCCATAGGATATGTATTTCCGAACAGGGTGAGAATTGTAATTTCCCATAGGATTTGTGCTTGGAATCCAAGAAAAACAAGGGTGCGAATTGTAATTTCCCATAGGATATGTATTTCCGAACAGGGTGCGAATTGTAATTTCCCATAGGATTTGTGCTTGGAATCCAAGAAAAACAAGGGTGCGAATTGTAATTTCCCATAGGATGCTGTACCTGGATGCCAAGAAACAGAGTCTACTTAATGTATTTCCGAACAGGGTGCGAATTGTAATTTCCCATAGGATTTGTGCTTGGAATCCAAGAAAAACAAGGGTGCGAATTGTAATTTCCCATAGGATATGTATTTCCGAACAGGGTGCGAATTGTAATTTCCCATAGGATTTGTGCTTGGAATCCAAGAAAAACAACGGTGCGAATTGTAATTTCCTATAGGATATGTATTTCCGAACAGGGTGCGAGCTGGCGGTTTCAGCTGGGGGAAACAAGCAGAAGTCTAGAAAAGTGTTTGAATTCTCCGCAGATACAACGAAGAATTTCGAAGAATTTCGAAGATTTACGAAGATCTAAGAGGAATGGTCTAGAAAAGTGTTTGAAGTTCTCCGCAGATACAACGAAGAATTTGGAAGAATTTCGAAGAATTTCGAAGATTTACGAAGATCTGAGAAGAATGGTCTAGAAAAGTGTTTGAAGTTCTCCGCAGATACAACGAATAATTTGGAATATTTTGGAATAATTTCGAATAATTTCGAATAGTTTCGAATAATTTCGAAGATTTACGAAGATCTAAGAATAATGGTGAAGAACCTGGAAGAATGAAGAATATTATGGAAGTTTACCGAAGAAAACTGAATATTTCCGAATATTTAAGCAGAAATGCAAACATTTCTGAATATTGTTGAATAGGGTTAAACACACTGAGAAGTACCCTTCTGAGAACCCTCCCTATCCTCATAGAAGAGGTTAAGAAGTCGGCCTTGAGGCTCGTTGCAAAGGGGGATCTGCACATGTAGAATTCTTCCAATGCGTACTTCTCTATACCTGATGAGGGCTGGGTCAACCAGCCGGCGGTTGATTAAGATCGCTACCCCCTGCCCCGGCAGGGGTTTCTGGCCTGACGTGAGCCAGCACCAGCCAGGTATCACATAATCGCTGGAGCCCCTCCAGGTCTCCTGAAGGAAGATCACGTCAATTGTGGCTACGGTGCTCGGAAGCTGAAGCCAGCGACAGAACTCGTCGTATACTTCGGCAGTCAAACTGCCGATGTTAAGACTAAAGACACACAGTTGTTGTGGGCTTTTACGAAAGGTTGCTCCTGCATCATCTGTGGCTGGCGGCCACGCTGGAAGTTTGCAAGTGAACGACGACCTGGCAGCAGGGCTCGATCTGAGTGATGTGGGATGTGATAGTGAGGAGCCTGCTGCTTGTAGTTGCTTTTTGGTGAACCAACGTCCTCGGTACCATGTGGCACCGTCTCGTGTGGCCCGGTTTTGGGCTCTACGAAAGGCCCTTTTCCGGGGTCCTGACAGTGGCACCTGCACGTCGCGGTGCTTCGCAGGTATAGTGGGACCTGCTGGGAGCTGATGTTCTGCTCCCGCCGAGGTTGCGACTCCCTCGGCAACCCTCGCTCCTCGAGTTCCTAACGCAAGAGTCAGAAGAATAAGAACCCCCAGCCAAGCAGGGCTGAGGTGCAGTCGGGAACCCGTGCCGGACTTGGGACCGGCAGGGCTCATTGCTCGTCGTGACTGGCAATGGGATGTGACGGCACTTGTGCTAAAGCGGAACTGGCGAGCATGCGGATCGCACCTGAAGGAAGTGGCAGCCACCATGGCCTGGCTGAGACAAAGACACAGCCAGGTGGCACACGAGTCAATGCTGGAAGCAAGCCTGCATCTTGATATGAAACTCGGTACCGAATGGAAAACAAATGGTGAGTGCTGAGCCAGAACATGAACAGCCGACCGAAGCAGTGCAGCACAACATGAAAAGGTCATACAGATGAAAGCAAGGTCGGGTGGTCGAAACCGCCACGAGCAGTCATCTCGTAAATGCAAGCAATCAGTGCCTATTTTCATGCCGTCCTGTGTTTGCAGTGGTGGCGTGCTTCCTAAAGGCACAACAGGTTGCAAAGTCAGCATGCCCCGCGTCGTGAGAAACAATGGATCTTCACTCAAAGGGAGCCACGCCCGTGGAGCCCGTTTTGCATCCTCGAAGATAGCCGTAACACTGGGGACATCGCAGCTTGGCTCGCACCAACATTTTGGCCACGGCCATGGTCTTGCGTGTGCAGGCGGCAGGTGCCGCAGCAACTGGTGTATCCCAGGCTGACTGAGAGGCAGATGCAGTCGTGATACCCGGAACAGTCTCAGTGACGGGCTTTGCTGGATCAAGGGAGAGCTCAGTAATCTCATCGCTATCCACCTCGTCGTGGACAACAGAGGGCGGAACCTGCCTACCAACAGCCCTGCCGAAGGCTTCGGCAAAGGCTGTGGCAAAGCCATACTGCTCGACAACCACATCTTCCATTGGGTCAGGTGATTCAATGGGAGGCGCCAAGGCTTGCATACTGTCACTGTCACGCCCCAAGCTGAAACTGGGGCTGGTTGCCACTGTGCTGGAGGTGTCCGATGAGGAACTGTCCGATGAAGTAGTGTCTGAAGAGCAGCAAGGAGCAGTAGCTGCCGGTCGTCTACGAGGCCTGGACGAAGGCTTAGCGGAAGGCTTGGAGGAAGACTTTGCAGAGGCCTTCTTTGCCGAAGCCTTCTTGGCTGCCACCTTGGGGGAAGCAGCTTCCGTCCGGTTCCTGGTCGGCACCTTAGGCTTCGCCCGAGGGCGAGAATGGCCAGCCGGAGCACTCCTAGAAGAGCGTGGGCGCGAAGCCGCCGATGCAGAAGCCTGTTTGGCCTTTCCCACCATGTGCAACACAAACGGCCGACCAGAGAGAGATGCTGGAGCAAAAGAGAGAGCATCACAACTGCATTGCTGAACAATCCACTCTGCATGCCGTACCGAGAGCCTGCCGGAATAGGAAACTTGTGAGCCAGCGCATTTCTCCAAGCTCGGAAGGTGCCACACTTCAAAATTCGGCGTCGGTATATACCTTTGCAGAGTCGGTGTGTGAGGCGATGACCTCGCATCCTGGATCGGTCTAGCAAAAGAGAGAGCACACTCCCACAAAATGAAGTCAGCAAAGGCAGCAGCCTAGTCAGTCCAAGCTGTGCAAGTCGATCACACCTGGTGTCAAACAGAGACCCACAGCAAGCTAATGAGAGCACTGCCAGAATGGCAGGGGGCAACAGCACTGTAGCCAGGAGCCGCGCTTTCTTTGACGTGGCAAGCCTTACCTGGTAAAGCGTCCTAAGGGCAGCAACCGAGCACAGACAGGCCAGTATTGCAAAATGCCCGAGATCCGGCATCTGATGGCCAGGTGTCCGACCGTTGTGCAAGAGTTGGCACCGGATCCATCTGAAGGCGGAATCTTGTTGCAGCCTGCAATCTAAGCATCGTCCAGAGGGACGTGGCAACTGCAGGGCCGTCACCGTGGAGAAGCACTCCAGTGGGTGAAGAGGCGGAGCGATCAGCCGAAGCAGTCGAACCCGAGGCGTTGCAGCCCTGACGAACTCAGACAAAAGTAGGCAATCCGATCCGTATGACGGCGTACCTGGGCACTGACCAGTCGTCGGGCCTGTCTGCGAGCATCGCCTGCAGCAGCGGGCAGTAAGACACGAGCAGAAGCCAGAGCGAAGCTGGCATACCTTGTGTGGGCCCCGTTGGCTGAGGCAACTGTTGGCACTTCGGAAGGAGTTCCGTGTAGAACACAAGTCCCCTGCAGTGCAGGAAGAACTAGTTTGACTAACCCAGGACACCGCACGAAAGGAAGCATCCGACGGCCTGAGCCGGATACGATATGTCGGTGTGCTCTTTGCAGGT